AGAGAGAGAGAGAGAGAGAGAGAGAGAGAGAGAGAGAGAGAGAGAGAGAGAGAGAGAGAAATACACTTATAATAACCTAGTATTATGGCATATATAAATAAACGTTAAAGAGAAAAAAACAGACGAACGTTCTAGAAATATTATTATTACATATGCATTCATTTTTCATTATATAATTATAATATAGGGAATATCACATATTTACATATCATACATGAACATATGCAGCATATAAGCATACACATATATATATATATATATATATGTATATATGTATATATATTGTTATATGTATATATATATATATATATTTCCCAATGTATGCTGATTTATAAAGTTTAGTTAGTCTGTTGAGATGTTAAGCGGAAAAACAATGTAGTAAAGAGCTGGTAACAACATCATATCATGTCTTCGAATGTGAACGTCTTTTATTGTTTGTATAATTTTTTCAATGATTTTTTTGTTCTTTGCAATTGATTAATGCTGTTTTATGATAGAAAAGTATACAGTGGCTGGGTTTTTTAAATACCATTGATCAATTTATAGAATGAACGGATTTTTATATTTTTAAATTTTTATAAAATATTGCTAAAAAAACAGTAAATAACTTTAAAAAAAATAAAAATAGCGAGAAAAGTTATAAATAAATAAGAAAAAAAGTCGAATACTCAAATTATGAAATCTTTAAAACCAAAATTGGCCTGGACCAAGCAGCTTGTCCTCGATAACAAAACCACATTCATAGAGTCTAACATAGGTTTCTTGAAGGGACAGTCTTACAAAGTCAAAAGATTCGCCGAAAAAGGACTTGCCTCGCTAGCCAACGCAGAAATTTCAGCAAAAGCTATCAATGAAGTCGTCGAACAGTCGAAAATTTTGTGCGAAGATTATATTTATAACAGATTGGCTACAATACTTCATACGCAGCAGGGAAGGTTGGTCAGTTGGTTGGCTAGCTAGTTAGTTGGTTATGTGGCTGGTTGGTTGGTTAGTTGTTTGGTTGAATGTTTGGTTGATTAGCTGGCTGAATGGCTGTTTTGTTGAATGACATAAGGTTGGCCGATTTATATTGTTTGCAAAGAGTTAAAAGCTGCAATTGTACCTGTGACAAATTTTTTTTTGCTTTTGCCCAACAAATATTTTTAAAACATTTTTGAATTCATATATGAAATAAATTTGACCTGATTCATAAATTATTCTACCGAACCAGATACAACCCCAAATTTTCGTCACCGTCGTCATCATCATCATCTCCAACCACGCCAACTGCGAATGACGTCAGCGATGACGTCTTCACTCGACAACTTGGTAGAATTTATGTGGCCGGTTCGTACTTCTCCCCTTCGAAGGCATGTTCTTTTGCTTTTGTTTTCAATTGAAGAAATAATTTTCAATTTATTATAGTTTAAACGCGTCACAGACCTTCATAATATTTGTTTTAAAATGAGTAAAATGAGATGTAATCAAATAATATTTTTACAAACTGATTAACTAATCAAACGATCGAATAATATTCATATCAACTGACCAACCAATGAAACGATCCAGATCTCCAGCTCGATCCTCAATTTCTCACAAACGTCAGCATCTCCAAACTCATCAACCGAGTACTCGTCACCGGATAAAATCGGACAAATTCGATACGAAAAATGGCGCAACCGACTAACGGAAGTTTCTACTGAAATTCAATCGCTAGGTCTGCGCCTGGAGCAAGCCTATCCCTATCTTTACGATAACTTGGCCCATCAGCTTAAAATGCCGCTGAGATCATCAATAGCTATCGAGAAAGCTATGACCGCCATTGGTTAGTCTTCATTTATTCATTTAATTTTATTTTATTAAAAATAATAGACGCCATTTTAATTGTTGCTAATGTTATTGATGTCGTCTCGTTGATGTTGTCAAAAGTTCGAACGTAGATTTTGATAGCACGTAGGGTTATACTTATAGTTAGTTTGCTGTTGAAAAAAAGGTTATTTCACATTGTAAAATTTGTCACTTCTTCACATCAATTCAATAAAAATTTTGCTTTGAAGATTCGGAAAAAACAAATGAAAAAAAAACTAAAAAACAAATCAGGCAAGCATTTTACGAGATGTCTTTCGGTGGCAATATATAACAATAATACTATTGCGATTGAAGCCCGCCAGAGCTAGGGTCAGAGAATATGTGAGGTGTTTTCCCAAGGAAACTCTCTTTTAGACCCCCGCTACGATATCACGTCATCATAAATTATAATAATTACAATGTAATATTACGTCATTAATTACGACGACATAATTATAATTTAAAATAATAATAGAAAAAATCTGAACTCCAGGCGATTACATATTCAAGAACTCAGTGATCACGTGGTATCGAATCGTTGGACTCTTTGCTGTGGCCGGAGCCGTGGCTCTCGAATGCGTCGATAACTTCAAAGGTTTGTTATTATTATTCTTATTAGTTATTATTATTTATGTTTTTTTTATTAAGTTATATCATTATTATTCTTTTGATGATTGAATTCTTTTTTAGCGCGTTAACTTCGTTGTGTGGATCGTGTTAATCTCTTCTTCACCATCATCTTCTTCATCGTCATCATCCTCTTCATCATCATCATCTTAATCATCATCATCATCTTCCTCATTTTTTTCTTCTTCATCATCATCATCTTCTTCTTCATCATCTTCTTCATCGTCATCATCCTCTTCATCATCATCTTTTTCTTCTTCACCATCACCATTTTCTTCTTCATCATCTTCTTCATCGCCATCTTCTCCATCGCCAAACTCCAGGTCCATTGATTCCAAGCATTGTGAGCGTCTTCTCGCAGATCATTGAGAGGCACGTGGCTCGCTGGATATGCGGAGAAGGTGGATGGGTAAGTTGATGGATCGATGGATGGAGGGGTGGATCAATAGATGGAGGAATGGATCGATGGATAGATGGATCGATGAATGATGGATGGATGGATGGAAGAATGGATAGATCAAATATATATATATATTTTTTTGTATTTTAATCGATTCTATAGATTGCACTGTTGAGCGAGTACAAACCCGGTACTCGAAAGTACTTGAGACTCGTCAGGTACCTCGGAGTATTCGTCGGTTTCCTGTCGGTAATGTGGCTGCCGTTTCGGTTTTATAGTTGAATGAATTATGTATCTATGTATCTATGTGTGAGTGTGCGTGTAATATTATTTAAAAATTATTATTAAATAGATAATAATAACAACAGTACTAATTTTGTTTAGTAATATTACTGCTGTCATTACAATTACCTTCATTATACTAAACGGTTAAAACACTGTGTTTATACAAACGTTGATTTTTAAAAAAAGAAAAATTGTCTTTATTTTTTTTTATAAAACACGTTTTAATTGATTAAAGAAGTTCTAATGGTTACTGCAACTATGTGTATATGTGTATGTGTGTGCGGCTGGTTGTACATGTTGAATTCATACTTTAAATTAAGCTATTAATTAACATATATAATTCACATATATTCACACACCACACACACCGACACACACACACACGCAACACACACACACAGACTATACTATATATTATACCCTATATACAAAATGAAAAAATATTCTTCACTAAAAAAATAACAGCACATAAAATTAACAGAATTAATGAAAGAAGTTACTTAATTAATTAATAATATGTCATTATTATTATTATTATTTTTATTTATTTATTTTTCGTCATCGCCATCATCGTCTTCATCATCATCATCGCGTCTTCGTCCTCATCATCTTCATCATCATCATCAACTTCATCTTCATTGTCACTATCGACTTCATCATTTTTCTTCTTGGTCACAGTTACTAGTCATTTTACTATAATCACAACATTCTTAATCAAGTATCATATTTATAATGTATTCATGAATAATGTATTCATGTATAATATATTCATGAATAATGTATTCATGAATAATGTATTCATGTATAATGCAGCCATGCATTGAACTTGAAATATAGAGATCGCAAGAACAATATTGAAAATTATCATTACAACAAGTTAATCACATTTGATCATTGATTGTTATATACATACAATTAGAAAATGTCCTAAGATTCGTGTGTGTCAAGTTACCTGGAGTTCCTTCTAACTTTACAATTGTACGTGCAAGACGAAATGTATGCTTTACAAGTTTTGAAGAGGCTTTACAATTTCTGTGACAGCGAGGATTTTTATATCCTCAAACATTCAAAAAAGTTGTCAACGTGTTTAATTAAACCATAAATTATATTAATACTAATTAATTAATTAATTAATTAATTAGTTATCCGTTTATTTTGATTCGATTACAGACTCGATGTCGATGAACGAACTCCTCCGCCGTCCCTCCCTTCTTTCAGCGGCATCATCCGAATACTTCGATATGACGATACTCGGCGGGTCGGTTGATTTGACGGTTTGCAGAGCTCCGTATGAATTCGACGGAATTTTACCGAGATCGGCAATAAATATTGTTGTCGATTCGTCATTTTTTGCCGGTTTTGAGATTTTCAGTTTGTTAAGTTTTTTGTACGGTTTCAAAGAACAATCGAGAATAATGCCTGCCTGTTTGGCGTCCTCATTGTTGTTGCTGTCTGATTTGTTGTTTGAAGTAAACTCGATGGTCAGCAAGCCAATGAGTAGGATGAAAAAGACGAACGAGTCGATCAGGAAAGTGAATCCTCTGTGAATATCAACAGTGCTGACGTACAGAAAGTTGAAGATGATGCTACCGATTAAATTTGAAAAAGTTTCGAATCCGGATAGTAGTGCGAATATTTTACCGAGGTCTCCATCTCTGAAGGATTTGCTGACGACGGACTTCAAGCAGGATATGATAAGGGCGCTTGGCGAGCCGACGATAACCGATAGAAACATTAAGGTGGTGTTCGTTGCGAGTGTCATCATTATCAAGCGTACAACCTGAGTGAGTGAGTGAGTTAGTGAATGAATGAATAAGTGAGTGAGTGATTGGGTGATTGTGCGGAAGAGAGGAAGAGAGAAAAATTAAAGCTTGGCAACACATCAGGCAAGTTACTGAGTTATTTTATCAAAAAGTAAATACTGAATTATTTATTGATTAAAATTTGAGTTAAACAATTGATGGAGAGAGATGAAAAAATGAATGACTGAGCAAATACAAGCGAACAAACAAACGAACGAGAAACGAAACAGAAAACAAAGAACAAACGAACAATCTCTTAAACACAGACGGACCTTAAAAGCCACTCCAACAATTACAAGAGTCTCATCTCTGACGTCACAAACTTTGATCAAGAGCGGCAGTAACAGGGCTGTAACAATACCGAGACACAAATAATCGCATGCCAAGAAATATCCGTATACCGATTTCGACCAGGAGAGTGGTGATTTCAACGTTACAAGTAAAGTTACGTCTACCTCTCCGGCTTTACAAAGCTGGTGAATGAGGATGATGAAGATGAAGAAGATAATTTTTTTGTTCGGTAGGTTGATAATGAGGATGAAGATTTCAAAAATACTTTGCCACTTGAAGCAGTTTCTGTTTTTGTTAGTGCTTTTGTTATTGTTAAATTGGTTTGAATGCTTCAGATCCGAGTTTGGTTCGTGTGTCAGTTTATCAGTTTTTATGTCTGGGTCATGTTTTTGTTCATCTTGTTGTTGTTCATTTTGTTTGTGTTCGTATTCATCTTGTGGCTGTTGTGGCTCTGGTGGATGTTGTGGCTGCCGTAGTTGGTTCTCGATTGCAATTTCATCCTTTTTGCGGTTGATTTCGTCGTTTCCCACATCATCAATTTGAGAAGTTGTAGTCCTAACTGACCTGTCAACAAAAAAAAATAATTTCAGTTCAGAAAAAGCAACGAAGAACATCAGCCCAACAACTACTAACAAGTTTGATCCTCTTCTCCTGTCAGATACATTCTTCCATTTTTGTTTTCTTTTTTCCTCATCCCAATTCCCACGCCCATCATCACCAGGATCATCACCAGGATTATCACCAGGTTCATCACCATCACCACAACAGTCATAACTAGCATCACCACCGCCATCAACATCATCATCATCACTTTGACTCTTCTTCATCATGAAGAGGTAAGCAAAGGCCAGGCAGACGAGATAGAGTAGGATGACGACGACAAAGACGATGTCGAATTCAAACCCTTCCAGTAAGAGTCCAACAAGTAGGGAGCCGATGAAGAGGCCAAAAAAATTCATGGATAATAATCGTCCTGAACATGGTGATGATGATGGTGGTGATGATGGTGATGATGGTGATTATGATGATGATGGAGGTGATGATGGCGATGATGGTGATGATGGTGATGATGATGACGATGATGGTGGTGATGATGGTGGTGAGGATGATGGTGATGATGATGCTGAGATGAAGATAAAATATGACGATAATATCAGATGATAATGAGATGATAACAAAATCAGATGATGATATCAGATGAGATGATTGACGACTGTAAAAAAAATGGAGATGGTGATGAGAAGGAGGAAAATAAGATAATGAATTTCTGAATATGATGTTGAAATAAATGATGAATAAAAGTAATCAGATGATAATGAGACGACTTAGAAAATATTCGCGGACAATCTATTTAAAAAAAACATTTAAATAAACATTTTACAAAACACAAAAAATACCACAAACCTAGTTTTTCAGTTCTTGCAGATCTTGTGTTTGTGTCTGATACGTAACTGTGAACAGCCATGGTGACGATGGAAGATTTACCAGAAAGTCCTCGAAGCAATGTTCCGAACGTCACAAGGATCAGGAAGATGATTTGTGGAGAGGTTGATTTGGTGGGTTTTGTATTTCGTGAAGATGTTTCGTTGTTGTTTGGCGTGTTGTTGTGTTTTGTTGCTGTTGTTGTTTGTAAGCTGTTTGGATGTGTGTTATAAATGTTAGAATTAAGATTAATGTCGGTTTTTGTTGGGGTGTCTTTGGTTTTGTTGATTTTGTCTGAGTTGATGTTATTGAACAAGTTGTTGTTGTTATTGTTGTGTTCGTGTTTTTCATTTACGTTGCTGATGTCGTTGATGGCATTATTCTGGTAACTATTTTTAACACTGTTGTTGTTGTTGTTGTTGTTGCTAGTTAATCTCATCACGACTTGATTAATTTTATCATAATTATTCATTTCTTTGGCGTACTTTCTGTTAGCAACTGCTGCACTGTTCAACGCGCCACTGTCAATCAAAGCATTGATCTTCCAGACGTTCCCGCCAAACTTCCCGCCATAATTTTCTATCAGACCGCCACTAAAAGCGGTCCTGCTACTATTTATACCGTAATATTTGTTACTCGAAGTACTGATAGGGATGTAACAGGACACAACAAACAGCACAACTCCAAAAATGGACAGCAAGATGCTGGCCACGATGGGCAGCCGTCTGCCCACACGGTCACTCCACGAGCCACAGAAGAGGCAGAGGATGATGGCGGGAAAGTTGAGGATGATTCGGTAGAGGGTGAGGTAGACTGCTGTCTGTTGGTAGTAATGGTGGTGATGTGGTGGTGGTTGTGGTGTGGTTGTGGTTGTGTGGTGGCTCAACTCAATTTTTTGAGTTAAGTTGACGAATACTGAAATTTAAATAGGATTAATTAATAATAAATTAGTGGTTCATATTCTTTGAGTTTTAGTTTGTTGATATGGGTAAAATAGAAATAATGACAATAATAATAATAGTGAATGACAATTATTTTCTACACATGTTTCGGAACTGGCTAGATGCGGTGGAGGTTAAGGTTTAAGGTTTTCTGACAGGTTCGATATTTGAAATATAAACATTTGGTGAAAATAAGTAATTAACAGGAAGATAGTTCGACAGACTTGAAACATGTTAACGACACGGTAATGCGTAATGATACCTGCTCTGGAACGCTTGAAAATATAAGACCAAAGATCTAGGGAAGAGTTTTCTGAATAAGAATCATTTTGGACGGCTTACTGGACGTGCCAATAAGTTTAAAGTTCTTTCAAACAAAAATCAGCGTGGCTGTAGGCAACACAAGGGATGTGTTTTGACAACGAGACAACTTTATTAAAGCTGTCGTGAAACGTAACGGAAACATTTATTTTCATGGTCATAACAGTAGAAATATCTCACAAGGATTAGTTGAGGTTGCTTTGCTGTTAATTTATTTAAATATTTTGTGTAGAAAGACCTTAAACTGATGTTCTAAACTCAACTTTGGTTGACCGACGCAAACTGAAACGATGACAAAATGATCATTGAAAATTATGATAAATTTATTTATAAGCCATTGTCAAAAAAGTTGTTTCAAATCACATCATAACTCGCAACAACTAACCAATACCGACCAACAACCGAGTGACTGACCAACCGACTGACCAGCCAGCCATAAAATTTATGAATTTGTAACATTTGTTGACTAAGCGACTCAGCGCGTAAGTGGTTATAACTTGGATAAATTAACATGGATAATTTAATGCTATCATCATCCCAACTTCACGTATTTCATGATATTTTAGTAATTTTTTTTTACAATTTTTATTCATTTTATTTACAATTTGCCAATTAATATAGATAAGTTTTTATAATAAAAATGTTTATATAACTTTTAATATCAACATTACATTTTTTTATTAACAAAGAATAAATAAACAAATATTTATGAAAGAATATGTTTATAAGTACGTGTGTATAAGTGTGTGTTTCGTTTGTGTGTGTGTGTGTATGTGTGTGTTTCGTTTGTGTGTGTGTATGTGTGTGTTTCGTTTGTGTGTGTTTGTGTGTGTGTGTGCGCGCGTATTTTTGGCATTTATAAAGAACAGTTATTTATTTTTATGGCGTGAATTTGTTCGTGTTTCCAATGTGTAATTATGACGATGATTGGATACATTTCCTGGCTGAAAACAAGTCGCACGTTGGCTGATTGCTGGGATAAAAAGATATATACACACACACACGCACGCACACACACACGCACACACACACACACGCACAGGCATAAAATCACGTACATTCAAACATATAACAACAACAATAACAACAGCAACAAGAATAACAACGAAAACAACAAATGTTACGATAAGGGCATTCTGTTAGTAAGTTAATAGAGTTAATAAATCAATATTGAACATTTTTCATTACTGAATAATTAATTGTACTTTGTTGTTTAATTAATTTTGTTGCTATTAAAGTAAATGTAAGATATTTATACAAACAAAAAACGCAACAACAAAATATTAATATAATCTGGAGAGCAATAAAACAAAAAACAAAAAACCCACATTAGCAAAACCACTGTAACTACTGCAACCAACCACAAACCAGACCAACCTCTTTTTGCAATTTATCTTCGATATCCGGTCTAGACGAGGCTTCGCCACAGACGTCGCCGTTTTCGGCCACACCAGCTTCCGGCAGCAGACGCAAACAGAGCTGATTGTAAATGTAAAGCCTCATCGCCGGCTCCAAAATTGACTCTCCGATTTTGAAGATAAAGAAGATGATTTCGGCTACAAAGTGTCGAGGGTTGAGTTGGAAAAGAGCGTTTTTTAGTTTTGACATTGCTGTTGTAGTTGACAGATAACGTTTCTGCTGTTGCGGTTTGTTGAGGAATTTTCTCTTCGTTTTTGTTGCTGTGAAAGTTTGTCTGTTGCCAAATGCGCGCAATTTTTATCATAATCTGTTAGCGTTAATAAAGCAAATTTATATAATTCATAAATCCCTCCAAAGTATCATTGGTCATTTAATCTACATCTAACACGCGTAATGACTTTGTTCTTTTTTGACGATTCCATAAGCTGGTTCACTTTTTCTCGGTCGGCGTTCATGAATTTGCGGCCATTTTTTTCTGTAATTATTTAAATTTAATAATTTTACGTTAATAATTATGTTCAGTTGTTGTTGCAGTTGTTGTGTTTCTGTAATTGTTGTTGCTGATGCAGTTGTTGTTGTTGCAGTTGTTGTTGTTGCAGTTGTTATTGCAGTTGTTGCAGTTGTTGTTGTTGCAGTTGTTATTGCAGTTGTTGCAGTTGTTGTTGTTGCAGTCGTTGTTGTTGCAGTTGTATTTCACAAATTTTTGTTTACTGAAATTGTAATGATTAATAACTTTAGAAAAAAGTGAAAACAATTGATTAAGCTAAGAAAAATTCATTAAAATTTGACTTTACCAAAAATATTAAAGGCAAAAATCAAAAATAATTTCAAACTTTCGACGGTCTATCGATGCTTGCAAAAACTGTAAATGACATGAATTGAAATAAGTTTAGTCATCGAATAACCGAGATTGCATAGGAAAATTATCGAAATTCATTTCTTAAATGCCTACATATATACATTCCTATATATAGATATACGCATATATATATATATGTATATATTTATATATATATACCATACCATATATATATATACCATACCATATATATATATATATACCATACCATATATATATATATATATATATATATATATATATATATATATATATATGCCACACATACACATAAGAAGATACACTCATGGGTACATACACACACATACATACATACATTTATGCATATATATATATATATATATATATATATATATACATCACGCTTGTTGATTTACGACAAATACTACAATATTAACGTTACTAAATGAATAACATGATATATATAAATACATTTATACACACATACACACACACATACACTCACACATACACATTTTCACACACACATTTATAATGGTGAATATAGAGCTAATAGTGGGGATAATACATTGCGTACAAAGACCTTTTGTTGAATTAAAAGACAGCCATGTCAATAACAAGTTTTCTTTCATTAATTGCTTTATATTTTGGTTGTTTATTTATTTATTTATTTATTTCATTAATTTATTTTATTTGTTTACATTATTCAAACTATTCAGAGAGAGAAAGAGAAAGCGAGAGAAGAAGAGAGAAAGAGTTAACAATAATAAAGATGAAATTTAATATTTAAGTCTTAACGATGAGCAACGTCAGAGCCAAACAATGGCACATCATCGTCGCAACGACTTCAACGACTTCTAGCCTACGTGTAAGAGGACTAATACATGAATAACATCAGCATTCAACGCTCAAGATGACAAATGGTTGTCTATAAAAAGAGCTAATGCTATTTATAGAAATATAATAAATCAAAAAATTCGCAAACTTACTGAAAAATTTGTCTTTGAACTGAAACAAACTTAAACGGACTCAAATTCGTCGCAAGGAAAATTGGAAAGCTCAACTGCGAGCTGAACAACTGTATATAATGACAAATAGTTTATATATAGATTATATATACTGTATTGTCGGCGGCTAGTTTAGTCGATAGAAGTGCCATGTCTCGAGTTGTTGTTGCACGACGTCCAGGTTCGATTACTGTCTGTCCGAACCTCAAAGACTGTGTACGTAGGTTGTGTGGTAAGTTGGTGTGGAGAGTAAGTAGAATCTTTGTGCTACGAGGCTTTAACCAAACTGTTAGAAAGATCAGCTATCGCTATTGTGCAGTTAAGAGCTGCCATAATATAATAATAATGATGATATTAATTAATAACAATAACAATAATAATAATAATAATAACATTAATAATAATGTACATGCTTCGGCTGAACATTATTATTAATTATAATGTACAATAATGGGAACATCCTTTTATTTTCTAACTCCAAATACCAAATATTAATAATGAAATAATTATAAAATCCTATTTAATCTAAAATGCTCGTCACTGCAAGTGAGTACATTTTAGAGGGGCTGGTTTAATTGTTCAATTGGGGTTCAATCATTCTTATTATTTTGGCGTTATCAATCAAATTTTATAGTAAACATAGAGTTGCAATAAAGTTAATAAAAAGACAATAATATCTTTTATACAGTCTGAACCTTGTCTCTATATTGCTCGACATAGTATAGAATGTGTACAACTAGAGTAGGTCAGTTTAATATTTAAATTGAGTTTAAAAACGTACGTACATGCAAATATAAAGTTATTAATGTGAAAATAAAACACTCAAATCCCATCAATCATCTGTTAGTTCAGCTTTCTTTCAACTAGAATGGGAAATCTGGTGCTTCTTCGCAATTGTTGATGTAATGTAGTGATGTTCCAGGACTGAGCATTGTAGCAGAGGTCGGCTGCCTGTTTATGAGGGGAAAGTCGGGTCCTGCTCCCTCGTCCGGCTTCTCTCGTGGATTCCAAACATGATGATACAGTATCCATTATTATTCTTATATTGTTATTGCTACCATTATTAATACCATTATTATTACTTCAAATTTCTTGTTATTAAATTAGATTTATCGTCAACATAATTATTATTAAATTAAAGTAGTAGTATTAATATTTTAGTTTAAGTAATAATAATAATAACATAATATTAAACAATAATAATAACATTAATAATAATAACAATAATAATACTAATGATAACAATAATAATAATAAATTAATAGTAATATGACATGGTAATAAATTGCAGCAGTATGTCGTCAGATGTTGCCTTCCTATATACTACAAATTTTTAAAATTTAAATGTATGGGAAATTTAAATGTCATGATGATCACGACGATTATGGCGGCGATAATGATGACGACGAAGATGATGTTAATGATTATAAAGATGATGTTAATGATGATATGATGATGATGGTGATTAGATTGGTGGCGAAGATGGTGATGATGGTGGTGAAATTGAATATGATCACATCGATTTCAACGGACTACCTTCCACAATCAACTCCATTCTTTGAGCAACAAATATTTACTGACTTTTAAAACATGTTTAAACTTGCATGGTACGACAGCATATATATTTATATATGTTATATGTTTAGTGTGTGTGTGTGTGTGTGTGTGTGTGTGTGTGTTGGCAGTGCTAGTGCGTGTGTATGTGAAGAGATGTGTGTATGTACAATGTACACGTACAATCTACCCGTATATTAACTTGGATATTTTTTACTTTCCCCGAATCCCGGTGATAGATCCAAAATACACTGCATAAAAGTTCAAAAATACACCCACCCACACATTCTCTCTCTCTCCCACACACACACATACACACACACGCACACACACGCGCACACACACACATTTTTAGCAAATGAATACCTTAATGCAGTCGCTTAGAAAATGCCTTCCCCAATACAAAATCATACGGAAAAAAGGATGGA